TAATTTTGACTGCTGAACACATGTCCCATCTTATTTAGGCACTCGACACCAGTTTATTTCGTCCTGAAACCCGATACAGCCGCTGTGATTTACGTCACTGGGTACAACGAATGAAATAAAGAGCCGAGACCCGGGATTTGGGTAGTACGTAACAAATGGCGCCGATCTGCTGGTGTAAGTGCCCACAGTCTACCTTCCGCACCGCGTGGCCTTCACACACTAGAGGTCTGCCCAGACCGAAATTTTATAATTTCAAGAGAATAGCTTTGGCCTTGGCAGGGCGGACCCACGCGGAAGTCCGATGGCAATAAATCTGTGGCCAGGAATTCATCAGCTGCGACGTGTTTCTCAAAACGCTGCATTATGCAGAGTTAAAGAATTGTATTTTCGACGAGGCCCGTATGCCCCCCACCCACCCACACATGGTCAAGGGTTTTTTCCTGAATAGACAGTTGTTCTCTATTAGGGAAATCAAACAAATAAAGGAAGACGAGATGGGTGAGGCATGTAGCACGGACAGGGGAAATTGCCGTCATAATTTCGGTTGAAAAGTATGAAGAGATTACTCTAACGAACTGGGCGCGATGAAACACAATATTAAAATGGATCTTAACAAAATACGGTGTATATATTAAATCTTGTCCGTCTAATCACAATAAATTCTTATTAAATATTAAAATATTACAATAATTAACATTTAAAATATTTAAAATATTAAATGATGTTCTTTATCGAAATATTCGATTTACATTAGACCATCATTTTTCATGTTTCACGACATGTTTCAGTTCCTAAAAGAACCATCCTCAGGTGTATATAATTATATAAAGCTTCAAAACGATAAATAATTCAAATACAATTTTCATACATTACGCTGGCCAGAAGGCGCATGCGCAAGGAAGCTCTGACTGTGCAGTACAGGGAAGGCGCATGCGCAGAAAGACCGCGCGTGTTTCTGTCACGTAGGACACAACAAGCGACGGTGTGCTGATGTTGACTGAATTCATCTGGCTCAGGGTAGGAAGCGATGGAGGGCTCTTGTAAACAAGGTAATGAACTTTTGATTCCACAAAAAAGACTTGAAATTTCACAAGCTTCTTAGAGAGGTAAGGACGTGCATTGAGGGTCTGAGGAAAACCCCGTCAGGGCTGTCGGGCTCCGGTTGGAACCCGAACCGTCAGAGGCTTTACAGCTAGTGTAATGCAGAAACGAACAAATGCATTAATGCTCTTACCACAGTTCCGGAGGAGTGTGAGGGGGCAAAATATGCCCACTGAACGGTTAGTGTTGTAAGTTACTTCATTTCTGAAGTGGCCACAGGATGTGATTTGCATTTAACCTCTACTTTACTTCGTTAGGCTGTGTTGGTCGAATTTCTTATCCTGGTCGGTCGGAGGAGAAAAGCGAGAGTGTTCTCGGTGACTGGTGGACGGGGAACTTCCTTCCACAGGTTGAGCGGATGTTTTCAATTGACACGTGTACAAATTGGAAAGAAGTGACCGTATTTATAAAAAAAACAAAGAAACAAGAACCCTAAGGCCGGGCGCAAACTGAGCCACTAGTGGTCGCCACTTTATGCAGACATTTTCCCCAACCGCGCGTCAGTAGCACAATGGACTCCGATATGGAAGCATTGGTCGCAATGCTAATAATACGACAACGCCGACGTAAACGACGACAAAGACAGCGCCGTTTTTGGATACATCCAATATTGCGAATTCGCAGCGAATACGACAATTTTGCTACGCTCTTTGAGGAGCTAACGAGGCACGAAGATAAATTTTTTTAAGTATTTTCGAATGAGTTTGACAACATTCAACATTTTTTTTAAACGTCGTGAAACATGAATTTACATTAGACCATCATTTTTTTTAAACGTCGTGAAACATGAAAAATGATGGTCTAATGTAAATCGAATATTTCGATAAAGAACATCATTTAATATTTTAAATATTTTAAATGTTAATTATTGTAATATTTGAATATTTAATAAGAATTATTGTGATTAGACGGACAAGATTTAATATATAACATTCAAAGAATTATTGTCCTTGTTTAAAACGTCAAGATACCATCATGAGAGAAAGCATTACCTCCTGGAGAAAGACTTACAGAACAGCAACTGACCTGACTGCCCTGCCAGCTGTGTTGAGGGTAGTGGGTGGGGAGCTAGGGTTTTTTTATGACGGACGCTAGTGGCTACGTTTGCGCGGGATAAACAGTGGTCGGAGGCAGCCACAAGTAGCGAGACACGGCCACTACGAACGCCGTGTCTGCGCTGAGTCTATTAAAATTCCATACAAAATACAGTCCGCAGCTTGTGGCGGCCACTAGTGGCTCCGTTTGCGCCCGGCCTAAAGTGTCTTCTTATTTTAAAATCGTCACCTACAATAATAAAACTTAACTACACCGCCAAGAGACAGTCATTTATTCCCTGGTCGCAATCTTGACACTGCAGTTCACGATGTCATTTAACTCCGAAATTCCGTCAGAGGACTTCGACAACTGAAGACGATTAAATTTGTGGGAGAGAGCTGTTCTTATTTTGAACCCGTTCAATACAATTGGCACCAGCCACTTATTATTGAAACAATATCAGTATTTCAAAATATAACAAAAGTATTATGCCAACTTTTCACAATTGTTACATTAATACTTCATAAAGAAATGCAAACACAAGGATTCCTATTCTTGATTAAACACTGAGGGGTTATTACAGTGAAACCGATATTCTTAAACATGTGAACAAATCAACGTGCACGAGTTTTGCAGACTTTATTATTATACTTCATTTATTTCCCGATGAAATAACATTTCAGGCGAAATTTAATCACACAAATTTCGCCAGTACAAATGTTATTTTTGGAATTTTGGCATAGGAAATTAGAACACTGCTCAGAACCGGCCTTGCTTATTCCGCATACTGGGTTGATGCATTTTGATAAAACTCGGTAACGAATACTACGTTTAATTTCGAAAGCTCCTTGGTCTGGTTTAACCAGCTTACATTCTGTGGGAAGACAAACCAGGAGGGACCTCGCGGCTGTCTGGTTCTGAAGATACGTCAAGAAGAAAGTGGTGATTCTTCAGGTTATCTTCAGTCAGACCTTCCGAAAGTCTTTTGGACAAACCACGCGGTCACATTTCAACTCCTGCAAGACATTTTGTGTGCGTGACCCAGTCACATCGCCCAAGTGTTTCAGCCATTTGCAAGTGGCAATCCGCTGAAATAAACTCAAACCCTAACGGCGCACTGTTGTAAAAGTTCTGGGTGTGTATAAACAATGTTAGTTTCGTAATGTTTTTCATGAAATTCTGCAAAAACATATTTTCGCGTTTACAGATAAATAATGAAAATTTAAAATTAAGATCCAAATAAAATAAGCGGACAACAAAATCAGATGACAGGACGAAGCTGCTGTTACATGACCGCAATGTACCGTGAAATGTGAAGACAAATCTGGATTGAAAACGTCGCGGGTCTCCGGCTGATGAACTCTGCCACAGATCTTAAAGTATTTTTAAGACAATTCGCTTGTGGGAAAGCTTATGAGCTAAGCTGCAAGAACTTAGGTGACGATGCACGGTCATGGTTCAAGCAGAGTATCTGGCAACACAGCAACCTGGTAACTGTAACTGAACACTACCATGTCCCGGGTCGAAAACCAGGACTTTGGGGGGGGGTTTATATTGAACCATACTGCGTCAGCAGTTTCGTGAAATGCGATAGGACACTATGAAAGAGCTGGAAATGACGCAGAAAATTCGACCCTGAGCTGAACAGCGTGTCTGTCAGGGAATGCCACCGACCCAGTCCACACCCAGGTATCAGATGGAGATTTCCAGCTTCATGCTCCGGCCGCTTGACCTCCGTACCCATCACATGGCATGTCTATTTTAAAGTTATTGCACCAAGGGACAGATGAAATCCTGGAGGCCCAATGTTGGATTACCGACCGATCTGTCGGGACAGGTCCGATGACAGAGAACTTGTGCGAACGACAGCTGGGCCCCTGATTCATCATAACGAAACTCAACCACTACTCCTACGACGCTGATACAGCATTTTTAAACTACCAACGTTTAATCAAAGCATATAAACAAGAATCAGTCAACGAGACAACCTGAGTTCTGCCTTCTGAGTTCCTTGAAGTCTTGTGACTGTATCTCGACGTTTATAAGGCACAAGCTGCCTCCTTCTTCAGGGTCTACGCGTAGCATAGTCTTCAGCCGTAAGACTAAGCTAATGGCAGAGTCCTTGAGACGCTGGGGCTACCTTCACACGCAAATATTACGCATGTCAAATGACACAAGTGATGGGCTGTGAGTGCACGGGCAGAAGGCAAGAACACATCGCAATCGAGTGGCTTACCTAATTTCATACACTGACGTGACCGCGAGTTAATGTTCTCGTGCTTTCTGTATGAATGATATACGGGACGAAAGAATTTATTAGCATTTATAAGCCAGAAACGTTCTGTGGAAGATTAAATTAAAAATATTCAGTTGGTATAGATCAGTGGTATTCAATCTTTTTTGTTCGCCTAGCGGTTAGAACGCTGGCCTTGTAATCCTGGGGTCTCGGGTTCGATTCCCGGCGGTGCTCGAATTTATAACTTGTGTTGGGGAAGGCCGTGGTCTAGGCAACACGGAGTTTTTCTCCGTGGCATCCCAACAATTACTCCATTCACACACAGAAGAAGGCAATGGCAAACCACTTCTGGATCATCTGCCAAGAACGTATATGAACAGGTCCCAGTCCGAGAAAAGGATGGAATGATCCTGTTCATATGGACCTGTCGTCAGACAGAACACTGAATAATAATAATACCCCCAGATATAATTTCTCTTCAACTTTGTACCCCCAAATTTGTTGATATATAATTCAAGTTATACATAGTATATAATCTACATCTAAAATAAATCAAATAAATTACATTACTAATTATCCAGTGTTTATCATAAAATAATTTTTTTTCAAAATTCACGTACCCCCTAAGATGTCTTCGCATACCCCCGGGGGTACGCGTACCCCAGGTTGAAAACCACTGGTATAGATGTCCTGATAAGCATTTTTCTTCTGTTTTGTAATGTTACTTCACTAAATACAGCAAATGATCAATATTTCACTGTTCTTGCGTAGATAAGTTTTCCTTTAATCCTTATAAATGGTATATGACTATGTAAGATTTTTCTACCTTCCGTCTCGATTTCCGTCGTGAACTTTGTGACAAACATTTCTTTTTATATTTACCGCATGAACACATCACTTGAAAAAGGGACACATTCCATTCCACTACAAAGGAAACCGGTGGAAGTTATGGACTGAATCCCCGAGTGATAACACAGGGTTTCTCGATTTCCCGCACGCTTTGTTTTGTCCCATTATACGACCTGTTGTGGAAACTCGGACTTCCATTTGTTCCTGGGCAGACTCGCTCCATCCTTTTCAAATTTCACAGGCCACATGAATCCAATCCATTCGCCAAACCCCATTTTAATACTCTACGCCTATACCCGCCAAGGTCTGTTCCCAAGACTTTAGAACCAAAATATATATACATTTATCGTCGCCCCAATTCGAGCTACATGCTTTGCCCATCTCATCCTCCTTGATCTTATCACCCTGACAATGCTGCATTGAACGTAGCAACAACACAACTCATTCTAGAAGCACAGTGCGGCGAAAAACGTCGGATTCTTCATCTACTGTGGCTCTCGGTCCAGTGAGTGAGGTGGTGTTCGTATACGGATGATGGACAGAGGCATTGTTCATCCTACGACGTCCAAAATGACTGTTACATACTGTTCAATGAGCAGTGATATTATGTAACATGATTAAAGCAATCAAATTCGAAGGAGTTAAATCTGTTTCAGGCAAAAGCCTCGATTTAAAGCTATTTCCGAACGAGCTTCGGGTGATTTGTATAATTCTTCGCACACACGTTTAATTTTCGAAATTACAGAATGTATTTTACCCATCACGTGAAGATTTTAACAACAACGGCACGTGAAGCCAAGTTCAACAACTTTCTCCCATGTGGTGTGGCATAACAACCGATACCACTAGAGCATGCAAGCTGACTGAAATGTACTTCGTTATGGGACACTTTTACCGTGAGTTACGTCAGGAACTGGCTTGTCTAAACACGTTAGAAATATATAGTAGACTGCTTATTTCCGCATGAATTGAAATAAAACATTTGAAAACAGAGAACCATCGCTCCCAAAGAAATGTATCCGTGTATGATTTGAGGTTTTCATAGCGGTAAGTATGAAGGTTTCTGTCTTCTGGGTTGTTGCGCCGTGTAGTATGCTAGATGTTTACGAACGTCTCAGAGATCATGCTGCCTCCGTCATCAGGTTCTACACAAAGGTCGGTAACTACAAGTTGTCGTAATTCATTACACCACAGTCAAAGTGTTCGGGTTACAACCAGCGTATTTTCGAATAATATAATGAAACACCACGACCGCGTCCTACCAGATCCCTTCCGACACACCATACATTAATAAATACTGTCATAAATCACAGCTACACAAATTGGTCAGTAAATAACATGAATAAAAGAAAAAACTTACATTTAAAAATGAAATGGGACAACCTCACGCTGTAGCCTCCAAAGACAAACGTCCCTCTGCAATGCAGGCAGATCATAACAGTTGTTTCCATGGTAACTCTGCAGAACTGTGAAGTGCGTCTGTTAGCCTCAAGGTGTTTATAGACACTTAACTCGATTTAAAAACAGGAAACGTTCACTAATGTCTGAAACGGAAATAACGTTAGCACCGCATTCCAGCAACGCACACAGTAATATCTGCCTAAAAAGGAACATAGATTAAACGTAAAAGTTGCCTTCCTAGAATGTACCTGGTTCCAACAATACAAAAATAAAACTAAGGCAGACTTACGTTTAATAAAAGATAACTCTCTAACAATGAAACATAACCTTAATTTTTACTAGAATATAATCTCCTTTAATTTGCTTTACAAATATTTATATTTATTTGTCACAAAAAGACCGATATATCATAAACAGGTTCGAACCAAGTCCAACTGTGGACAAAATAGGTGTGTATTATACTTAAGACACTGCCGGAAATAAAGATGTGTGTTACTCCGTAAAAGTATAGTGTACCGGTACGCGTAGTATGAATTTATGAATTGTGACTTGAACTAAAATGCTTATAACAGGCCATAACTTGGATTGTAATTGTTTCAACAAAGTCTTACTGTGTTGCTTTTGAAATAATCCTGGATGCACAGGTAGAGAGATCACTACTACGCTGATCAAATACTTCTCACAGCGCCCACACCAGACAGGAAGTCAAAGGCGACGTCTTAACGCGGAGCACGCCGAACCAATACTGATTGCATTAGCCATACAGTTCTGGCCCTAAGCCAACAGACAATACACGAAGATAACCAACCACTGGGAACTACACTTCTTCACTGTAAGGTCACCAGCAGACTGCTCGGGACAACACACTGGAAGCCTCCCTTCCACACGTCCGTCATATTCTTTTCTTTTCGCGAAGGAAGGCTGGTTCCTGTTATGAAACCAGCGGTCCTTCGGATAGGAGGGGGTAGGGGTTTTGTTTGTTCCCTGCCCAAATGAACCCCTGAATTTCAGTGCAGCCATAATGCACAAGAATGTCGGCTGTCTGTTTTCTGTTTAAAGTGACCCCAGGCAAAGAAACTTGGTTTTCCAGTGCACTGAACACATCCCAGCTAAACTGAAAACCGACGTCGAAGAAAGGAAGGCACGTCCCTTGTGTTGTGAATAGTCAGGACGGACGGGCACTGGGAACTGCTTGGAACATCGGAACACCGTTCCTTTAGCTCCATGCGTGGTGTTACTGAGGAACCACCGTTAAAAATTTTAAAACGACGTTTCGGTAGCGAGTTCTGCGTCGGTCATCAGTTAAATGCTTACTTTCTGGGTCCGATACAAGGGAGTACCCACCAGTCCCTGGATACCTGAACTAAATTAGCTGGAACCAAGTATTTTCAGCTAGAGACAAACAATTTCAGTACAATGGAAATCACAATTTTGATGGTTTTAAAGTATCCTGATAGAATATAACAATGTTCATGTCGTGTCTTCTTGCCGTCTATTTGAAAACTTGATTTCAGTTTATCACGTTTCAGTTAGTAGACTGAAGGTTTCCAGGGACTGTGATCGACCCCAGGTATCGGACCCAAAAGAATATACATTTTCCCATGAAGACGAGAGCAGAACCAGCTCCCGAAGAGACGAATCGATACTGAATATAACGCCATTACTGTCATCAATATGAATAAATAAGAATTAATTCATCGTATATTATAACGAGAATAATGAACAATTAATTCATTGTGTCATAACAATTTATACTATTCACCTGGGGATACTGGGAACGACCCGTTCTTCAAGTGCCTGAGCACTGCGGGTTCCAACTATTCGTTGGCTTTGATCTATATAGACATTTGGTAAGACTCCTTAGACGAGGGATCGGCCCGTCGTAAGGCCTCTACCTGTACACAGGACAAACATCCATGGCTTGAGTGGGATTCGAACCCACGGTCCCAGCGACCAATTGGCACAAGGCCCACGCCTCAGACCGCGCGGCCACTGCGACCCCACTACTCACCTACTGTTACCATAGGATTAAACCTACTGGAAATCGGCTACTATTTGGAAGATGCTTAGAAGAGGATAACATTAAGATGGATGTGATGGAGAGAGGCTGTGAAGAGGGAAGATGGATGAAAATAGCTCAGAATACGGTTAGAATAAGTGGTTCTTCATCTTCAATCCTATATATACCTTCAAGGCGTGCAAAAGTTCAGGTTAGCAATAAATGCAAACAAAATTTTTGTTACGATAAGTTATCTCATAAAATCAATCTCGGAAAGGAATTCATAAGATGAATGGAATATAACACGTTTCTAAATCGGGCTTTTGTGATAACTATACTAAAACAGCAGCACAGTTATCAATTGCTTAGGCAAATCACTAGATTGGTTTGTCTGCAACAATCATCGTCCTCGGGAGTTTGGGTCCATAAGCATGCTTCAAGATCACAAAGAATTCTGTTTTAAAAAACGAGAAGAAATTCAGTTTTAAGACCAAAACGTATAAATGACCGTGGGTTGACACAAGCCCTATCCTGTAACCACAAATATTTACCTTCAAGTTAAATATGATAAGATAGCGTTCCACACAAAGCGTACACTAAACCGGTGCGCAGGCACTGCCATCTCTCGGCGCCACCGACCAACAACAGACCACTACGTCATCGAAACATTTCGAACAGTTGAAGACGTAAATAAAATTAAACTAGGAAGAAGGGAAATACAAGTTTATGACCAATTAAGATAGACGTTTTTGTGTGTGAAGTAGTGTAAACGTGGCGACATCGTGAAGGGTAAGGGCTAAACCGTCAAAAGAAACTGAGAAAGTCTAAAAGTCTGAACTAGGTCGATGTCTATTGCCCGATCAAAGTGACGGGGCTGTTAAAATGACGACGAATTTGGAAGTGATGAGGATATGAAATGAAGTGATCATTTCAGTACGTTGTCATGGCATTCGTCTTGGGACAAGTAAAAAAAATGTCACCGGAACTACCGTTGCTTTGCATTAGAAAGGTTCACAGTTCGAATCCAAGGCAGGTGACAAAGAACCTTTGCAGGAAACAGTAATCAGTTTGACCTTGAAGTAAATACAGACAGCTGTAGAGTTTTAAAACAGAGTTTTCATTCCACATAGCGCTTTAAGTTATTGTTAGTGTAGGAGGTCGATTATGTATCTCGATTCGTATGACTGCTCACATAAATCGATTAAACGTGGTTTTCACTAATCGTAAGTTGCGCCAACCAAGTTTTGATCAGCGACGGTCCAAAATACCGGCTTTCTTCACCAACTTAAATTGATATTTTCATCGTAGAAAAGACTGGGCAGCCGACGTGACACAGAATACGGACCGACCTCATTACAACTCGAAGTTTCAAATATTTTTCTATATGGTGCGCAATTTAACGAGATGTTACGAAAATCTTTGTTCTGTGATGAGGGCTTAAAAGCGACAGTTTTAATTATGCAACATGACACAGTATTGTTTTTTTTCCCTGTCGGTTAATAAAAATGCACATACAGATAATTCGGTTGGCAGCAGTGAATTAGCACCTGCCGTAAAAGATCTCTGACAAACAAAAGGTGGTAATCTGCAAACGTTCCACTCTTGTTCCATGTCCTCGGTGTCTTGCGAAATAAAAAATTTTCGGTAGTTGTTTCAGTCTGAGAATCGCAAGTTCTGCGACAAATTAAAAATGTGATTCCGGTGTGAGGAATTATTGGAGCGGTCTTGTGACGAACATGGATATAAAACACAGAACATTTTTCAAGGCAAAACCTGTGTTTTGTTTACTGGTACAGCAAACTGAGTTAAGGAGATAAAAGCCTGTAATTACAAAATGTGTAATGCCGTACACAAACCCTGGTCGTGAATTTACTGCATTGACTATCTCGTCAGTTCACGAAGACTTGAGTTCTAATAATCGAGATACTGGCCATCTTGATGTTTTCGTGGTTCTCCCAGCCTCTCCAGGCGAATTCCGGATCCTTAACATTCACGGCCATCTCAAACTTTTTTTTCAATGCTCTCGAAAGCTCACAGTATCCCCTATACCGAGGAGCACGTTTCATTTGACACCATAAAACATTTGCAGTTTATGCTATGTCTGTAAAATCCATGTGTGCACAAAGACATTAATTTTGAATCTTCAAATACAAATTTCAGTTCAAGATGCTCAGTCAGGAAAGTGACTGGCTACGGACTAGACGACCGGGGTTCGATCCCCGACAGGGGCATAGGATTTTTCCTCTAGCCTCTGCGTCCAGACCGGCTCTGGGGCCCACCCAAAATCCTATCCAATGGGTACCGGGGTCCTTTCCCGGGGGTAAAGCTCGCCCGGGGTGTGACGCTAACCTCTATCTAGTACTGAGGCTAAGAATGAGTAGGACCTATACATTCTCCCCCCCCAAGTAACTGCATGGTGTATAGTGGGACAGCTTTACTTACTTTACTTTTTATGCAAGTGCATAAACGTGTCGAAACAACAGTTCGTATGTTTCCTTTTTCGCCTGTAATTCTAACAGCAATTATGAACTTAGGTCTCTCATTGCGCAATTAGCAATCTCCTTCTGTGCGTAATCTAGCGTTAAAACATTTTTCAACTTCTGTATGCTTCTATATGGTCACTTTCGAGCCAGTGTTTCAATTACTTAATTAATTTGTCGATTATTCGGCAAACTGCAAAGGTTGATCAATGGAGTAATTTAATCGGTTAGTAAAACATCGTGGCGTACTGTTTCCTAATCGATAGGTCTCGGGTTCGATAATCGGCCAGTCAGCACTGGTAGGTTCTTATGGTGTGATTTTATTCAGCACCTCAAGGCAAAGCCTGAGATAATATTTTAGAACTGACCACGACCGCTTCCTTTCACATTCTCCGCCATTCATCCTGTCATTCAGCGCTACAGGCCTGAAACGTGAGGTATGCAGCTGATGAAACGTTGTTAAAGAAACTCACAAAACCTGCTTGTTCCGTTCTCTGAACGCTGAAGGTACATTCACATTCCTGACATATCTAATTTGACCTCATAGAACCTTAGTAGTTTATGCAGAGTCGTAAAATAACCAAATAAACTAGATTATGTCTAAAAGCCACATCGTATCTCTAATATGGCACACGTTTAATTTCAAGTATCCATCACCGCATTCACAAAAGCCAAGTGGTGTTCTATCATGAGCCATCTGAACTCAGTCCACATTCACATCCTATTTCTTTAACAGTTTTTTGTAATAAGGCCTCATGTTCGCCTTCAGCTCTGAAGGCTCTCCGATCTCATTTGTTATATTTGTTTACGTGCCAAACTTTATTACCTGAATATCATCATAATTTTTAATTTCATATAAACTCTCATTACCAATTCTTGGTCAAAATATTCTCTCTCCTGTATTTTTTCCACTGACAATTCTACAATATATCAACAACAAATAGTTCGCAAATACCAAAAGATCTCAGATGATAAATTACACACCGAAAGCAAGGACCACCGATCTACATTAAAGAAACGCAGGCAGTAATTCAAACGAAACGTCGTAATTTCATCCTGTCTGGAGAGATAATTAAGGAAAGAAACGAAGTATCTCGGCCTATTCAAAGAAAACAATCCTGATCCAATCAAGTCTGTATACAGCGCCTTATTACTGCAAAATAGTCAGCTGCTGTGAGTTAGTTAACTTCGGTTTCCGGTAGGGGGACGGCAGCCAGATGACGTGACAGCACGCGCCCTGCGCATCTCTTTTGTTTCAATACAGGTGCTTTCTGGTCGCGTGCCTGCTGCTGCATACCCCGCCATCTGTAAATCGACTCCAAAAGAATTAAAAAAAAAAGTGGAGCTGCAGTCTTGAGTGGGTAATCTCA